ATCTTTAATATATTATTTTTCTTTTGTTATTGAAATTTATTTCTTATTTCACTACGTCACAATATTAAGTGCGATATCATCACCGTAGAAATGTGGAACCATACTCGATCATTTCTACCTTACGTTTTCCGTTTTTTCCCATCAGAATATACGTTTTTACTAAACTATTAGTATCAAATGATTTACTTCCAACAAAGTTTAATTCTTTTACAAATGTCTATGTTTATGTGAGCAAGACCTTGTTTTGGAGAGCACTTTCTAGATATGAACGCGATAATCGTTGATGTAAGCTTTTTTGGGCTGCGGCGACCAACTGGCTATTGTTATCATGGCTAGGTTAGGTAGAAGCATATGGACCTACCTTAGAATATAGTTTGTTTATAATATTTACTGATTTTTTGCCACCGCCTCTCATTAGCCTGGGACACCCATTACTCCTGCTCTCTTTATATCTTACCACAAACTGGGTCACAATATTAAAATCATAAATGTTTCTTGTTGACAATTTCTAGCTGAGACAAAGAAAGTAGTAGTAGCATATTCGTCGTGCCTCTGATAAATTGCAGTTGGACTGCAACTGATGTAGAATGAGAATGACTGATCAAAATTCTATTTCTTTCACTCCGAATTTTTCTAGATTCTTTAGGCATTGTTGACATGAATGTAGTTAAGGTGGTTAGTGCGAGATAAGTGTTATGTCATCATGCCTTTTTTATTGTATTAGTCGAACGATGAGAGGTTCTCCTATGTTCCGGTAGAGTTTGAGTCGATTTTACCATCTAGTTTTTGCGTAACGAGACCGTAAAGTTGCTGTTTTAATATGGTCTCCAATGGTGACCTGATAGATCGGACCTGAAATTTTAAAACTGAGAGAAAATGAACTATTGAACAAGTTTTTAAAATCTCTTCCTTTGGTAGGTAGCATCTCGAAGAATCAATATGCGTAATTTGAAGGAAATCTACCGTTTCCAATAAGATAATTTTGCAAAATTATAGGTCTAAATTAGACCAAAGGAGACGTTCGCGCGCTTTCTAGAGGGTCGGAACTGTAATGCGCGACACGGCGCGCAAAACGTGCTTCATTCAAATCGAGTGACAAGCCCTCTGCAAGAGTTCGTACATTCCTCTGGATGTTCTGGGAGCAATTAAAATATCCTCACTCCTTGAAAACATTGCATTTGATACTAACCAGATATTCAGAAATGCTGGAATTTGATGGATATAATTATTAGTGCGATCTCAATGAAAATCTTAATTCAATTAATATTCCTAATGACTCACTTTCATACTATCCTATGAGAAAATAGGTGATCTTGATAGTTTATAGAACTTTTTAAACATTCAGTACAGTATTATTATTTTGTATTGTGCCGTATATCTGTTTTTTGCTCCTGAACAATGATAATTTATTCAATTATTCAAAAATTATTTATATTCTATTTTTTTATTATGGATTTTCATTGCCTTTTGTACCAGAGTTACTTACAAAGGACTCCAAGCAGCAATCTTTAGCATAGATCAGCACCTCAATCTGTATAGCTACTGAGTGGGCATTTAATTCAGAAGGCAATATACTTTTTAGTGGATTTAAATGTGTTGCAATGATGAAATACTGTTTTTCTGGTTGTCGATACCATCTTCTTTCAGAAGAAATGCTTCTTTTCGAGTAGAAACACCGCCTGACTGAGAGATTACTCTGTAAACTTGAGACTTGACAATGAGAGAATATTCTGTGAAATACACGCCATATCGCGCCATTCCTATTGTTACATTGCAACTTCATAACCAGAGTGGCCAAATAGCTGAAAAGTGTATGTCTATTGCACAGTAAATAAAAGTTTGTACACAATCATTTTCAATAGTAAATTATAAGTAAAACGATAATTATAATTTAATTAATTAAGTAAATTAAAGTTAAATTAAATGAAAAGTCGGGGTCTTTTTAAGAAGTTCCTCCTTAAGCGCGAGAAAGTAAAAATTACAAAGTTGTATTATTTTATTTTTCTCTCATTTGCTAATATTGACATGAGCGGCGTGTTGTTCACATAATTGCATTAATGATTACGTGTCCGTCAAATGAGAAAACTAAAAAGTGTTCTGTGAAAATCTTAAAATTCCGCGTTTTTAGAAATGTTTAAACGTCAATTTCTCTCTCCAATTTTTTTTTCAAACGTTTCGAGCGGAAATTATTACTTGCAGTGATTAAAATCACATAAAATTCATTTTTATATCTACTTTTTATAATAATAATAATAGTAATAACAACAACAACTAGCGTACTCGTGCGAGAACTCTCGCACATTAATTCCCTCCCTTTCCCTATCCTTTCAATTAAGAGGGAAAGTTGTTAAATGAAACGTGTTTATTTGTTGAAAATGTATCAATGTAACTTCGTATTTACAGAAAATCAAACAAAAATACCAACAATGCCATTGATGTTCGAAACAAATTTTCATAAAGGTATATTCAGTATAATCGACACATGTTGTTCGAACAATTCACACTTGCTTAAAATTATTAGCAGTTCCTTGACAGTAAGCTTTTTGCTTTCCTTGATAGTAACAAAAATATTAAAAAAGGTTTTTACTCTTGAGAAAGTAAAGTAAAATTTTGTATACGGGGAAGTACAAACCTTCTCTTTGCAATATTATTTAACTTTCCTGAATTTGTTGTGAGGAACAGAGGCAGAGCGCCAACTTGCTGGGGTGCGAAAATTGCAAAATTACCTTATTTGTATACTAAAAGGTATTGGATTTTTTTTCTGCGTCTTGCGTACCTCAAGGAAAGCAATTCTGAGCCAAAAAATAATAAAACTAATATTTTCACCTTTGAGTAATAAACACATGTCCGTAAAGTTGGCACCGCTACCACAGCGAAAAATACGAGATATGGCAGAGTTCTCACACGGGTACGCTAGTTGTTGTTGTTGCTATTATTATTATTATTATTATTATTATTATTATTATTATTATTATTATAAAAAGTAGATATAAAAATGAATTTTATGTGATTTTAATCACTGCAAGTAATAATTTCCGCTTGAAACATTTGAAGAAAAAACTCTCACCCTAACCCTAACACTCCGCCCAAACCTACGAAAAATACACGTTTTTACCTTTATTAAAAAACTTACCGCAGCCACTAGTCGTTGCGAGGAGGTCGTGTATGGTCTTGAGGAGGGGGTGGATTTTGATGAACTAAAACGATGCTAAAGTAATAAATAAAAATGCTTTAAAAATGCTCTAAAACAAAGAAAAAACCTAAAATGTTGAAAAAATCCACTTCAGATAATTAAGTGAATCTGTTGGATACTATGTTACTGATGTCATCGAGACTTCTACCTCTTGTTCAAGTAAACTCAACTTGCAAA